CGCTAAGATCCGATCGCTTTGTACAACAGCACCCAGACTGAATTATTTACAGACCGCCGTCATATAGCTGAAATACTGCGCAGTGCGGTGTTGAGCATATAAACAAAACAAACACAATGTCCACGTGATGTCTCCTTGTGTACTCTAGTTATCTCCCCCGAGAGGTTATCATGGTTGTCAGTGAAGTGACAACGAGATTATCGTATACGTTCGTACATCACAAACAGTATACATTACCCAACAGTGGTGGCGATTGCAAGCTGAAACACAGATGACACATTCGTCAAACGGTCATACGTACACATGATCAGTTTATCTTCCATACACTAGTCGCGTATGCGCTACTGTTTGACTAGTGTCAGGAGACACGCTCGAAATTATAGCAGAACAGCAAATGACCCCGATGTCGATCTACCGAAACTACCGAGCCTTTCTGAATGATCGCTATGATTGCGTGACAGACTGATAACAACTACAGGCTTAATTTCCGCCGGTTGTGTTGGGCGAGGCGTAGTCGTGTGGATACTTCGCTTATGAAAAATTGTTGAGAACATATATTAATATAGGTACAACGTCACCGGCAAGAAGAAGAGGAGCTCGGGTTCCCAATCCCGTGACAAAATATCCACTGACGCAATCCTCGCCGATCTTTTGCGACATTTTGCCTTTGTCAAGACAATGCTTCAAAATACTCTCAAAGTGTGAGTTCGAATCCCACTCAGAGTCGTAGATTTTTCAACATTTTATCTTTTATTGCTATTTTTCTTGGTATGGGACTTTTTCAGCCGTTTTTTATATACACACAAAATATGTGTACATGGATATCTTTTGCTATTAATACAATAATTATATTATTCTTACCATAATTGACAACTTTCTAGATTTGCCTTATAACTGAATGAACAGACATGGTATTGTTTCTTGCATTATTTGCCACATGATTGATTCATCATCATCATCATCCATCATCATCATCATCATCATCGTCGTCATCGACATCATCATCATAATCCATCATGCAAAGATTTGAACATTAAGGAAGCCCCTATCTTTGGTAAGAACATTTATATATAGCGTTTTCTCTCAATAATTTCTGTTCCTTCATATTACTTGTCCAATTTTCTTACATAATTAATTGATTTAGTTTTCGAGGACTAATATTTTGGAACATTTTCTTTGACTTTGTTTTTTCGGTTGATATACGTTCCAATTGTTGTCCCGGGGGTGGTTGCTTAATACAGAGACATGTTGCATAGATAATTAGCCAACAAGTGTCCTGACCTATCTTTTACGGTGTTTCCATGACAATATACCATACGCTGTTCTACCCAGGGGTGGCTGGGTAGCCTAGTGTATAAAGCGTTAGCTTTTCACGCCGAAGGCCCGGGTCCGATTCCCCAAATGAGTGAAGCAGACTTATTTTGTTGTCCGTTGTCATATTGCTGGAATATAGGTAAAGGCGACGTAAAACCATAATCACCCACTCCTACCAAGAGTTCCATGCCGCCAGCACTGCACTGCTGCCACCATCATGTGACGATTCATCACATCTTATAGGAGACGTTTCGACATATATTCTAATGTCGTTGCCAAGCAAGTGATGTGACTGCCACGTCTCCATGTAGACGACGTATGACTTCTTTGACTGATATTCTAGAAGTTGAGGAGATGAAGAATGAAGACAATTCTTTATTCGGAATAGGACAATGACATTAGAATCTTTCTTGAAACGTCGCCAATACAGAATAAAGAAGTCGTATATCCATGACAAAACTGTCTTCATTCTTCATCTCCTCAACTTCTAGAATGCCAATAAAAGAAGCAAAACTTCCATTATACTGCAAGACCGTTTACTGCCGCCTCCTTCAGGTGCTCTCTATAGTCGTTTGGCTCAAAAGCGGACCGATGAATTGCAATCTAACTCGAAAACTAATAAACATAAAATACTCAATGAACGCTGATCATAATCAAAACATCATACCAACTCTGTGAGGTTTTTGCAGAATTTTTGTCCTAAAAATAAAAAAGTTGTTTAACAATCTATCATTAAAATATTGACACAGTTCACTATTTGTTACGAGGGAGGAGTGCAGAGAAAGGGACAGCCAGGTGTTCGAGAACGGATGGAGACGGCACAGCACAGGTTAATGAATAAATAACTTTGTCTGTGAACGTGCTTCTCGAATACCTGGCTGTCCCTTTCTCTGCACTCCTCCCTCGTAACAAACAGTGAACTGTGTCAATATTTTAATGATACTTTGTTAAACAACTTTTTATTTTTGGGGAGGACAAAAATTCTGCAAATAAATCACAGAGTTGGTATGATGTTTCAGTTATCATCAGCTTTTCATTGAGTATTTTATGTTTATTAGTTTTCGAGTTAGATTGCAATTCATCGGTCCGCTTTTGAGCCAAACGGACTATAGGCTTTTTCATAATTACGTATCACCTGTACATCATTTATGAAGTCCGAACTATGCATGTCTTACCATGTATAATATACCTACAATATGTATCGAATTTGTGTTAGCTGTTCCAGTCCTTCTTACAAAGTCCAGTTACTGGTATAGTGGTCCCAACATAAATATGTACGAATCTCGGGGTGACCAACGACCATTGGTTTCAAGGGGCGAATAAACCTAGCATTACCAAATGGGGCGCGGATGTGCGGAACTAGGGTGGAAGATGAAATATAAATAAAGACAGTAAACAGTTATGGCGAACTCAAATGGACCACTGATTTTATCACGTAATAACCGTAGTTCGCTGTACGCATTTCGACTAAATTATACAGCAGGTGTCCTGGACCAAAAAACAACAAAACATTTTTGCTTCATCCGCCAGGTCGTAAACCGTGTTCGATACATATAGTCTGTTTGCAGTGAAAACGTACCGATGAAATTCACTTTAAACAAAACAGTAAATCGAATATAGTGAAAATAAGATTGCGAATCCTCATAATTTTGCCTTGCCATTTGAACATTTAAATCTCAAAATTTTATTCAACTTAGGATTAAAGTTGTTTAACAAACGATCATAGTTTCAAATCGCTTTATTTGTTTGCATTACAAGGGGGTATGCACATTAAATGAAACACCGAGACGAGTAGGGTTGGTCTAAGTTAACGCTCATCACGTACCGCATGTGCATTTGTTTCACTGTTCAAACTACTGCGCTTACCCCCTTGTAATACAAACCAATATATTCGATTTGAATCTATGATCGTTTGTTAAACAACTTTTATCCTAAGTTGAATACAATTCTGAGACTTACATGTTCAATTGGCAAGGTAAAATTATGAGGATTCGCAATCTTAATTTCACTTATTTGGTTTACTTTTTTGTTTAAAGTTAAATGTATCGGTACGTTTTCACTACAAACAGAGCTATAGTTTGTTGAAGCTGTGCTTACGAACTGGCCATTACTTATGTGAGATCGAAAGGCTGTCATGGAATGAGTGAGGTGAGGTGAAATGGGGTTAGCTTCGCACTTAAGAATAATTCGCTCATGTGACTACGTGCATGGCAGTGAATGTGTGGCAATTTACGTCGAAACAGGCTGCTTGTACTAGCCCAGACTTAAGCTGGTTTTATAGAGCTAGCCCACTGAGATACCATGCCTCAGTGAAGCAGGAATACCCCACTCAGACACATTATACTGACTCCGAGCCGACCAGTCCTTGTTGTACCCATTAATGCCGAGCGCAAGGCAGGGACCAACAAGTACCATATTTTAACGTTTTTCGGTATGACGCGGTCGGGGATCGAACCACTACACCACGGAGGAGGTTTCGTGAAATGATGATACAAGATGTTATGTAAGATGAGAGGATGTTACACCAGACGAGGGTGGGAGAGGCGGCTATAAAATACGACACAGACAATCCAGTGGTCAACAGCATGAGCATCGTTCTACGCAACTGGGATAGGATGACAAGTGTCAACCAAGTCAGGGAGTTAGTCGTCTCTTACGATAAGCATGGCTTACTGAAGACTAGTTCTAACCCGAATCTAGGGGCGGTGAGGTAGCCTAGTGTTTAAAGCGTTCGCTCGTTACGCCGTAGACCCGGGTTCGATCCCCCACATGGGTACAGTGTGTGAAACCCAGTGTCCCCCGACGTGATATTTCTGGAGTTATGTTGAAGGATGGCGTAAAACAAAAAATCACATTCTCATCGATACAGATCGATCACAAATACCCTCCCCTATCTATTTCCCACCCATTCTATCCCCAATCATAATACATCAACTCCTTATATCAACACCCTTTTGCAACGTAAGCGTTGGATTGACGTGAAGGAAGGGTGTTGGAGTCACCAACCAACACACGTTCATGACATATTTGAAACCTCACCTTCAGCTGCAGCGGTGGGGTAGCCTAGTGGTTAAAGCGTTCGCTCGTTACGCCGTAGACCCGGGTTCGATTCCCCACATGGGTACAACGCGTGAAGCCCATTTCTGGTGTCCCCCGTCGTGATATAGCTGGAATATTGCTAAAAACTAACCTCACCTACTCACTACTTTCAGCTTATTATACTGAAGAAAATTATATCAACTTCAACCCCTAAGAGTTACAATACAAACCTATTTCAGCTGGCGTGTATCTGTAGGAAGCTGCACGTCGATGACATGAAATGATAAGGGTGTGAGTGATGCGGTGTGGGTGAGATGCCCCCAGACAACCCAATGAGTCACTAGGCAACCGGCACAAACCAACTCGGGAGTTCCCACCTCGTCAAATCACGCGCATTTCTCAATTACAGCTACAATCTCTGCTCGTGACTCGTGCATATGTTTACAAGATAGCGAAACTCGGTAACATATCCTGGGCGTGAAAGTTTTATCGAGTCATTAAAAAGTTCAAAACTTTGTTTCAGAAAACGAGGCACACGCGTACTACTCGAATAACACGTACGTACGTGTTAGCATCTATTTGTAGTGTAACTTGCAGATGTAAGGGAGGTAACTGGTATTGGTCTGAGAGTCTGCTCGCGTGTAATGTGATACTGCAATCTCTATTTTGGTACTACCGTCGTGGATGCTTGCCGCGTCCAAAGAAAGCAGCAGACGATACACCTTCGAGGTAAGTAAATTATGATCTATTTTAATCCCCCCCCTGGTTTCAGCATCAAATATTGTCCCGATTCTAAACTTAAAAAAATACGGTACGATGTAACATTTGTTTTCACAGTATAGGTTTAATAGATAGGTTTAATACCTGTAAGGAACCTCAACGGTAGGTGAGACCGAGAGGGTTCACGAGATTTCAAGTGCAAATGAGCGTGGATGTTGTCATTTCCTTACATTTGCACTAATATATCGGATTATCAACGTGTGAAGGCCACGGAAGGATACCTTTTAAACTTTAATTATGATAACAGGTGTTCATGGTCGTTTTTTGTTGTTGTTGTTTTTTTAATACAAGATGACTTTTAGTGCGTGGTACTGACACGACCCGAGCGGTGAGTTGTACATGACATATTTATTTTATGTTAGTGACTGTAGACGATGTCATATACCTGTGTAGTTTTAAAAGAACATAATGCTTTTTGTTATCTTATACATCAGTTATATGGGTTATATCAGCACTAACTTGTGACAGTGGAGCGATGTAGGTTTTAATTTACGTTATTTTGTACTCTGGATGTTTCTTTGAGGCCTTCTGTGGCGTTTTGTTTAAATAACTAACACGCATACGCACACGCACACACACGTTACAGTTGTTATGAATCACTCATGACGGAGGAGGTATCTATCTATAAATATATTATATACTTCCTTTCAAAAGTTTAGACTCACTTAAAACACTCACTATATGTTATGTCTATACATGTATATATGGTTACATCGAAGATTGATTTCTCCACTAACATGAGAAACCAAGCAAACCTTATGCATATGAACTACACGAGGATCATGCATCAAATTGCTGAAAAGCATGTGCAAATATCGTGTATGTGAACATCTGCGTTTTGGTGCAGAGAGAGAGAGAGAGAGAGAGAGAGAGAGAGAGAGAGAGAGAGAGAGAGAGAGAGAGAGAGAGAGAGAGAGAGAGAGAGAGAGAGAGAGAGAGAGAGAGAGAGAGAGAGAGAGAGAGAGAGAGAGAGAGAGAGAGAGAGAGAGAGAGTTTATGACTGTACACTCGAAGTTAATTTATATACAAGAAACAAACAGACATACGTTGTCTTTTTAAGTTTTTGATGAGCCCGTGATTCATACCTGATTCATCTAAAGGTCCAGTATAATTCGGGAACACTCAGTGCATGATTCCACAGGTATATTGGATAAAATAGTCAATGTGTACGCATGAAAATGAACAGTTGACTATACAATGCAATGACCGGATAGCGACATTCGCCGCCTGTTTTTACAGCTTGCCGTAAAGGGTGGTATTTCCTCGTGGCCGACTGTATCTCCATTGTGCCTGGTGCGAGGTCGCCCCGCCCCGAGACCGATGTGTGGGTGATCGTGACACAATATCGTGAGAATGAGGCATACGTTGATATAAATATGGTGTAGATGTTGCTACAGACGCAGCAGATACGTCCCGCCCCTTCCCTCGGCGTGTCCCAGGGGTGCTGTAAATCATGCTTATTGACTCACCAGCTCTGAGGCGGTTCCCGATCAAAACATGCATTTCTCAGCGTGTAGTGTCACGTGATCTCACCATGTGCAGATATGCGAGTGTTCCAGGAATCAGGGAAGATATTTGACACAACATAACCTGCATTCTTTATTGGGTGTGATGAAATGTTTGCTGCGGAGGAAGTATGCGGGATGTTAATTATTGTTTATAGTCTGTCAGTGCCGGGGTTAGACTAACAACTAGTCTCTGAAATGAACATATTTTACTGCAAAAAAGTTCATAGTAAAAAAAATATAATATAATGAAAAGGAGCCCTGAGACTTTCTGAAGCTGAGGAAATCTAGACTTGCCACATTTTCTAGACTTGCGTGGGCTTTCTTGGATATATTTACTTCAGGGTCTGTACGACAGACTATGCCGGGGTTAGACTAACAACTAGTCTCTGAAATGAACATATTTTACTGCAAAAAAGTTCATAGTAAAAAAAATATAACGTGGGCTTTCTTGGATATTTTAACTTCAGGGTCTGTACGACAGACTATGCCGGGGTATGAGGTTCACTGAGGGAGGATGAGAAAGACATGCGTGCAGAATCTCTCGTGCATCAATGTACTTCCTCCTATACACGTGAAGGAGGTGGCAGTTTCTCTCGAATTGTACTTTCTCTTACTCGTTGTTACAGTAAAAACGGGGCATTTTCTCGGCATACCTTAGATGTCACCTGAACACGTTATTTCGTACACATCTGTGGGTGAGAAACCATAACTGGTATCAAGCCTATTGATGAGATCGAAATCCAGTTATATGATAAAATTCCAGTTATATATCTGATGACCTGAGGACAGATTAAGACGCTACTTTCCTGATTGGGGGCGGTAGGGTAGCCCAGTGGTTAGAGCGTTCGCTCGTCAAGCCGAAGACCGGGTCCAATTTCCCACATGGGTACAATGTGTGAAGCCCATTTCTGGTGTTCCCCTCCGTGATATTGCTGGAATATTGCTAAAAGCAGCTTAAAACCCAACTCACTCACTCCGGGACTTAACCAGACCGGGAGACCAGCACTAAGGCTGTGTTGTACAAGGGCACCCCGGTATCTTCATCGAGGTCGAGAGAACCTACAAGGATGAAGATGTTGCGTCGTGTTTAAGTAACCTGAGCCGCAGTGTTGTAAAACATGGAAACCTTGCACATAAACATGGCCTGTGTTTGACTGATACGGCATTACATGTTTACATACCTCAAGATGATCCCGGAAGAGGGAGTCTGTCTGTCTGAGGGCACGTGGAGAGCAAGCACTCAATCAGGCGTGGCTACCGTGACAACAAGCTTAATGATCTGAGAACCGTTGTATAAATCGATCGTAACGCTTAGGTGACCATAACACCATGCTTTACCATGCTCTTATGACGCTGAGATAGTTTAGGACAATAGTGAGTGAGTATTTTTACGCCACTTTTGCAATATTCCAGCAACATCAATGGGCTTAACACATTGTTCCCATGTGGGGAATCGAACCCGAACGATTTAACCACTAGGCTACCCAAACGCCTATAGTACAACGCCCTCTGCGCTCATAACATCGATCACTAGTTTGGCTGACCAGACTCTACGTACAGATCGCCGTCATAGCAGTTACGTTACTATAGTCTGTTTGCAGTGAAAACATACCGATGAATTTCACTTTAAACAAAAAAGTAAATCAAATAAAGTAAAATTAAGATTGCGAATCCTCATAATTTTACCTTGCCAACTGATCATTTAAATCTCAGAATTTTATTCAACGTAGGATAAAAGTTGTTTAACAAACGATCATAGTTTCAAATCGCTATTATTGGTTTGTATTACAAGGGGGTACGCGCAGTAATTGGAACAGTGAAACAAATGCACGTGCGGTGAGTGATGCGCGTTAACTTAGACTACCGTTGAAACCAACCCTTCTTGTTCTCGGGGTTCCATTTAATGTGCATACCCCCTTGTAATACGAACCAATAATAGCGATTTGAAACTATGATCGTTTGTTAAACAACTTTTATCCTAAGTTGAATAAAATTCTGAGATTTTAATGTTCAATTGGCATGGTAAAATTATGAGGATTTGCAATCTTAATTTCACTTTATTTGATTTACTTTTTTGTTTAAAGTGAAATTCATCGGTACGTTTTCAAAGCAAACAGACTATATGTGCAGCGTTAACGCAGCAAAGAAACGAAACGTGTGTACAAGCAGATGGAATGTTGGGATTGGTGATTTGTAGTGCATCTGATGAAGACCAATGTATGCCTATCCTATAAGCATGGCGTATTATCCAGATAGGGCTTGGTTGAGATTTGGTGCGCCGGAAAGATGGTGTGGATTAGAGCGTTCATTGTATTACGTTGAGCGTGATGTCTTAGAGCGTCTATCGTATGCATGAAGCCTTGGTTACAAACTGTGTGAGTGAGTGAATTTTCAGCAATATTCCAGCTATATGGCGGCGGTCTGAAATAATCGAGTCTGGTCCAGACAATCCAGTGATCAACAGCATGCATTATATGAGCCTCGATCTCCGCAATTGGGATACGATGACATGTGTCAACCAAGTCAGCGAGCCCGACCACCCGATCCCGTTAGTCGCCTCTTACGACAAGAATAGGTTACGGAAGATGGATACAGTCAATTTAGTGCTGATGTATATATTACTAAATCTTATACAACGCAAAACACGTTTCATAAAAACCCAGTAATTTTTTGTTATTAATTTGCAATTGTTTATTATATACTGAATATCATTGAAAACGCACCACCTGTAAATTTTGAAATATGGTAATAGGATTGTTTTGAGAGTGAAAATGAACGTTGGAAATGTTGTTAATAACACAAAAGACAATATACAATGTTGTACAGTAAAGAACGGATTGCCGGAATACATCATGGAACACATCACATGACACTAACAATCATACACAACACACACGAAAAGCACAAATTGCATGCGTAAATCATGCTGATTAGGGGTATAAATGACCGTCGGCACAAAACCGTTCTCATTTTAGCTGTACCTCCGAAAGTAAAGTGTATGCGTGCATTTCACTCCAGTTTGAAGCTTTATAAGGCAGGTCATTCAAAAAACACCAAAGAATACAAAATTGACTGTGACAACGCGGAGAAAACATGCCACGTCTAACTGAACAGCAACGATGAATCGCAGTTGGAATGTTGCAGACCGGATCCACACCAACTAAAGTGGCCAGGCACTTCAGATGTCACGTGACAACAATCACAAGACTATCCGCAAGGTATAGTCAAACCGGTAATGTTCCAGACCGACCACGTTCAGGACGTCCCAGGGTAACAACGCCAGCGCAAGATCGTCACATCCGGGTTACTCATCTGCGTAACCGACAGCAACGAGCAACACAGACAGCTGCAAATCCATTCAAGGGGCCACAACGTCACATCTCTGCAGACACTGTTCATCGTCGTCTGAGGGCAGCAGGGATCAGATGTCGCCGTCCTTAC